CATTCACCTGATTGGAAGTTCTTTAGCTCAACTAATGGTTTAGGTGAGACTATTAGACTATTCCCTTTTTTGACAGCTTTTTTTGAAGCAAGGAGACAAGTAAGGATGCAAGGAGACAGGAAGCACCTGTCCTGACATTGAAGTCGAAAGAAAAAGTAACTTAAGGTAGGTTTTAGTTTACCAGGAAATGCAAAGACGTCACATTTCGAAACCCTGTATATGCCAGAATTTCCAAAGAATAAACAGACTTGTAGCGGTGTAACTTGCCCTTTATCTCATAACATATATTCAGCTGCTACACCCGACAACGGAAAGTATAAATGTAGGTTGTGTTGTTCAGCTTTGACCCATAAAACTGTGCAATAAACAAACAGCTGAGGAAATCAGCTGTGAGACTTTATCTTGAGCAGTATCATAATCATACCTGTGAAATCGTAATGTCTGTTAGTATCTGCTGTGTAACGATAATAAATCAGAGTCTCAGCAGATGCTCTGATAAAACAACTTATTTGTTATGATGTCCTGTAAATGTTTGATTATTCCCTGTAGACATCAGAGGAAGCGTTGCTGATTATTACCTTTATATTTCTCAGGAGAACACAACATCTCATCTGTTCTTACCTGGCATAGTGACAACATAGATACAGCTTCTGTTTGCAGGCCTCAGGACCTGCACAGAGAGGAGCTCACTCTCCTGACTGCTCACGTCATTGGCGGCCACGCAGTAATAATCGCTGCCCTGTCCCACGGAGCCGCAGTTAAGATACAGTTCTGATGACGGGTGAGGGAGTGAGTCCTCGAGGCGAGTGCGTCGATGCCAGGTGTAACGAACACCAGAGCCCTGTGCACATTCACAGTGCACAGTCACCGGCTCCCCCCAACACGTGGGCCCGTCCACCAGAGATGTCAAGGGCCAGAGTCTGGGTTTGGACACCGGAACTGGCACAAAGAAAAAAGCGCTTTATTTGAATCTATTCGACTTGACGGCGAAGAGGAGAAGTTTGAAAACACGCTTTAGATTTTGATAATGTTGTGATTGTAGTGAACATTTAAAGGGTTTCTGCTTTTCTTACCTTCAGTGACGACCAATTTAACTGAAGTCATGATGTCGGCGTATATTTTATCAATCCCAACCCAGTACGCTCCAGCGTCATCAAACTGCAGACCTGTGACCTTCACAATCAACCCTCTTCTTCCTCCATCTATGATGTGGGATCTGCTTCTGGTTTGAACGACCTTTTCTGAATGCGCTAAAATCGTGCACGTTTTACTGGAGGCCCCTCGACACCAGTACTTCTTATTGTGCAGGAATGAGTTTGTGTCGTACTTGCAGAAAAGAAGGAATTCGCCTCCAATATGTGCGGTGATTTCTTTTTTATCACACTGCAGCTGAAGGCTTGCTGAAAAGACAAGAGGATGATCAGACTCAGACCGTGACGCATCTCATTTACATTTAAAAAAAGCTGCCATGGAAATCAGACGATGGTTCAATAATCAACTTTTTATATCATGTGAACTGATTTAATTTCAACAAAAATGTGCACAGATGGTTGATGGTCATGAGTGAAGTGTTTCAAGTCTAAATTAAAGAATGTGTCAAGGAGAAGAAAAATAATAAATATAATTTTCACACATTAGGAAGAAAACCATGTATTTATATTTATAATTATTTTAACAACATCTAAAATAATTGTGCTCACATTGAAACAAACAATAATTTGATAAAGTACACCTTTGTTCAAACGAAGAAAAACTGAAGAACATCAATAACACTTATTTAATTAAATCTCCTGGTTATGAATTAAGTTCAGATTATTGATCAAATTATTCAACCTTAAAAAATCCTACTCATAATGACACCATATCTAATTTATCCATTATCTTTTATTTCTTTTTTTTAAATTATTTTATTTGTGAAAACATTTTCTTAAGGGAATACACATCTTTAGCTTTTATATCTAAAATACTACATTTAAAAAAAAAAAGATTGTCAGTAGAAGTTATCATAAATCACTCACCATGGAAAAGCAAAATGAGACACAATGTCTTCATGTTGTTGGTGAAGGTGAGAGTAGGAAAGTTTTGCATCAACACCCGAGTAGTGGACTGTGGTTGAAGCTCGTGCTGTACTGGTGTTTCAGCTTCCTGTGAGGTGGAGGCTGGTGCACACGCTGAACACATACACTACATTACCTGCTTTCAAATAAGGTCACATTTATCTCACGTTGAGCAATTTGTACAAGCTCCTCGATATATACTGAGATTTGAAGAAACCTTTCACTTTGGCTTCGGACGTCACTTTAATTTGTTTTTACACATTTCAAACCCTTACGACACGAACTCACTTAAACTGTGGTGTCATCTGCAATATTAGACTTTCTTTTTCTACAGTTGTGTTTTTTGACAACAGTAAATTGAACCACTCATGTCACCACTAGATGTCACCATATTATATTATTATTATTATTATTATTATTGGTATTTTAACCTTTGTATCTTTATGCACAGCTATGTAGGATACGCATATACAGCATATTCACGTTTTATTATTTTCATTTATTTTATTCATTTTATCGTTCTTTCAGCCTGAAGTTAAAATTATAAACCAAACTGCCCCAAATTTACGATAGAATAATCTTGTAGAGTTTTGTCAGAGCTTATCTGACTGGAAATCTGGAACTGGTTTATCAAAACAAATGCTTTTTGTGAAAACACAGCTGACAGAAATGAAGAGAACTGGATTTTCCAGTTTTCTTAACCACTCCCTCTGCCTCTGCCTCCATCCCCGACCACATCCCTCCTCCGCTCGACTTTTACAGCTGGAACAGCTGTTCACGCCTGTTTGTAAGCGTGTGGCCTCCTCTGTTTGTGGGTGTTTCCCTCCCATTCCCTCTGTGACACTGCAGTGCAATCAAACACCCCGGTGACTCTAGGACCCAGTGACAGACACCAAAGGGGGTGCGGCAATTTTTTTTAAATATGACCACAGAACCTGTTAGTTTACTCTTGCTTCCTCAGACAGTTTGAATAGTTCCTTCACAATAGTTCCTTGATGTGAGCGTTGCACCAAAGAGGTGCTCTGTGCAGCAGCAGGAGCACACGGCCCTGAACCCAAGCCTTAACGACCTCACTGTACTCCATGACTTGTGGACGAGGACCTCTGTGACCTGTCATGAGAGGTGTCATATCCCCGGCAGTGAACAGCCAGCCATGGAGCAGCAGGCCCGGGTACTGAGGACTTTCCTGGCCCAGCTGGAGAGACAGGAGGCTGAGGATGAGGACGCACTGAATGGATTTGCTGGGGAGTTCGCTGTGAGTCGAGACTTATGTTCCTTTAGTTGAAATCCAGCTGCGAGTAGTATTGTGGATGAAGCCTCAAAGTTTGTTCTGGCTGAACTGAGTGGAAGCACAGTGTGAGTGAATGTTCCACATTTTTGTTTTGGGGAAGTAACACGCTGCTGTTGCATTAACAGCTCCAGCACCATACTTGTTCTTCCTCTTTGCACTGATGCTCGTTGTTAAAGGCACATGACCATTAAGACCTGCAGGCTAAATGCACTGAAAGACCTGAAGGCTAACAAAGACTATTTACATAGACTGTGATTTGTTCACTTATCTCTTCATTCACACACACAAAATAAATATGCATCAGACGTCTCGAGCCTGACATCAACATCTGTGGGCTGCTGCCATGGTGATGGGTGACATGCCAGCGCCTGAGGACACCTCAGGCTGCTGTCATGCTGCTCGCACCCCGGCCACTCCAGCAGAAGAGCTCTCTTGCATCATTTCCTTGAAGAACAAAAAGCACTTTGTGGTTTCAGCAGTGCAGATGGTCCGCGAGGCCTAAAAGAGACTGCCTACGACTGCATGCAATCGCCTGTGAACAAAAAGCCCAGTGTCCCTCAACAAAATCACATAAGCATGGACGTGCCATGAGTTTCAGCATCAAACCCACATGGAAATCCTCGGTTTATGAGTCAGTTTCTCGTGAAATGATTCACAGATTCTGGTCTTCAAGCGGTGAATCACATACAGAGAAATCATGTGTGACCACTGAGCAATTGGTCACACAATTTCCTTCCATTAGTAAGAAAAGCTTTATTTATTTATGAAGCACTTTAAAACAAAGCGATAGATACAAACTACTTCATAACATAATGAAGTATAAAAAACAGAAACACAGCAGTTTAAGAAAGTGAGAGAACATAAGAGAGTTTGAGACTTTTTTAGTTTTATTGTATTGAACTGGTTAATCTAACAGTGAACAATAAACTATTCCAAAGTTGAGGAGCGGAAACTATTAATGTCACGTTAACTGAACTCTCACAACATCCAAGGAACCGTTACTAATCTGAGAGACTTTCTATTTCTACACGGACACAAAATATTTCAAAAATAGACTCAAGGGCTTCACCGTGAAGATCCTGATGAATAATAACCAGATATTTACATAAATTCCACTACTGAGACAGGCCGACACCGGAGAAATCGAGACAAGAACAGCTGAGCGGTTTCCTGAGGTCGTTGTGTTTGACATTGGTTACAAAAAAATGAAAAGCTATATTAAAACATCTCATTGAAATTCCCAACGGTAGAATATAAATAGTGAATCAAACAGGGCCGAGAACCGATCCTTGGGGGACTCCATAACCCAAATCGTTACCAAGTCGTCTAACGTTAACTGGCTCCCAGGAATTCTGAGTGATTCTCTGTGAATGTAGTTGGATTTAATGTCCTTCATGTCTTTCAGAGATTGAAAAGTCAGTCAACCAAGTATCGCACCAACAAGACCTTCCCCACCAAGGCAGCAGACAAGCAGGAGAACATCAAGAAGAACCGATACAAGGACATTGTCCCCTGTAAGCTTTTGTCATCATGATATTGGTTTTTTAAAACATTTTTCTCCTTCTTCTGTGACATTTCCTGTTTCTCTCCTTTTAGTCGACCACAGCAGAGTAAAGCTCATTTTCACCACAACTAAAAATGACACGGACTACATCAACGCCAATTTCATCAAGGTAAATGAATCGTGTCACTGTGAAGAGAATCCTTTTTATTCATACACAAACTCTGTGTGTTATTTTTATACGTTCTCTACGTTGATGTGACTGATATAGTTTGTATGGTCTCTGACGATATGTTTTCTTGTACAGGGGGTGTCGGGGGAGAGGGCGTACATTGCTACCCAGGGTCCTCTGCCCCACACGGTGCTGGACTTCTTGCGGATGCTTTGGGAGTACAACATAAAGGTAGAGCACGACTCAGCTGTCATCTGTTTTTACTACGACTCCATAAAGTGACCTTTTTTAAACTCCTGCTCCTCAGTTAAAGATTTCTGTATTCTGTGAGATTACATCTCTTATCGTCCTGTGTGACTACAGGTCGTGGTGATGGCCTGTCGAGAATTTGAAATGGGGAAGGTAATGTGATTATGCTGCTTATTCTCTTTTTCCTCATTATGCTGTTTTTTTTTTTTGCATATAGTTTCGATGTGGACCACACCTCACACTATGTGAAAATGTAAAATCACTTTTTCTTTTTGGGGTTGTAGAAAAAGTGCGAGTGCTACTGGCCACGGAAAAACGAGCAGCCATTTGTTTGTGAGCCATTCAAAGTTCACTGTGTGAGTATTTCTGTTCTCACTGTTGCTCTATTCCACTCTGAAATTATAATTTCACTTTATCTGAGTCATATAACATCTACTATTATTTTCTTTAAAGTTTTACTTTTACTGCTTTTATTAAGAACAGAAGACGTTCACATTATCTGCTGGTATTTTTTTTACAGGACTCTGAGGAAAATAAAGGAGATTATCTAACAAGGACATTAAGGGTGACTTTCCACAATGTAAGTGTTGTTTATATCCATAATTGGGACGCTTACATTTACTGAGAAATGCAGATTATCACCTGAAGTGTTGATGTATCTGTGAGACAGGATCTGTATGTGTTGTGAATGATCAGCTTTAATAATGACATATATAAAAGTATTAAAAGATAAAATGTGTGACCATGGGATTATCTACAATCTTTTTTTCCAGAGTAGTCGAACTTTGAAACAGCTGCACTACATGAACTGGCCAGATCACGGCGTGCCCGACACCATCCACCCCATTCTGGACATGTTGCATGAGATGCGTTCCTACCAGGCCCACGATGACGTCCCCATCTGCATCCACTGCAGGTCAGACGCACGTCCTCACAGCATTTATAGGTGTCCTTTGTGCAGCTCAACACAGTGCAAATGAAAAACAAGTGTGAAGTGTTTCTCACTGAAACGCTTTGTGAGTTTTAAGAAATGTGTTTGTGTGATCATTGCCTTTATTGGTGCTTTGCTCTGTTTCCTTGCAAAAAAACCCAACACCAGTTATTGATTTTGCATCAGCAATTGTGATGGAAGACTTGGACGGACAGACTTACTCTTCTGAGAACCTCTAATTCTAAAATTTGTTTCCGCTTTATTACTTTCACCAAGGGAGGTTCTATCTTCACCCCTGTCCGTTTGTTTATGAGCAAGATTACACAAACACAACTAAACGTATCTCCACAGAACTTGGTGTGAGGACGTGGAGTCAGGGAAGAACCCATAAACACTTGTTGCAGATCTAGGAATTTATTTTCACTTTCTTTAGCTGCGTTTCCCAGCGAATAATTGAAAAAATCAGGCGCATTTAGGAAACTGATCTACGACCGCGTGCAATATTTCTGCAGCTTGATTGAATTCAAGGGACCTTGGCTGAGGAATAAGCTCCAGTTGCATTTTAATTTCTATTTAAACACGTTAAAACACTTTTTTTCAGCTGCATCCTTGAAAGACACGAAACCAACACAGTTTTTTATTGCTATTGTTCAACAGTGGTCACAATGAAGAACCTCACTTGGTTTGATGGACTAGTCGCTGTGGGAATGTGTCCTCACACCACTGCGGGCAGCGTCTATGTCCCCTGCGTTAGGCCTTAGAGTTGCAGACACTTCCTGTCTTTGAAACAGGAAGCATGTGTCGGCGGTTAGCCAACGACCCACAGCGTTTTATACTATACATGTGGGCGATTCCCCTCAGTCTACTTACGTTATACCCCCATTTACACTCAAACATTAAACATCACACACTTACATCAACTAACATCAACACACAGAACAGAAAACCTGTCTTCGTTAGTCTGGTGGGGTCTAAGGAATATTTCTCTTTATGCACCTGAGCAAAAGGTGCCAATAGATGTTTTTTAGGTTTGTAGGAGACAGAATTTGTTCAATGGCCCATTGATTATTGATTAATTAATCGGTATATTGGATTTAACATTTAATTTAACAGATGTTTTTTTCTTTTGGGTTTAAGAATAACTAAATGAAACGAAGATGAACTAAGCAGCTAAATAAAAATGTGAATCAAAAGCACAGCTCACCGTAAAATGCCCCACTTCTCTCTGAGGATGGAGAGTCAGTCACATCACGTCTGAGAGAGTTCACTCAGAGAAAAATGTTCCTGATTTTTGTTCCTTTACATTTACAAAACTCTTCAGTGTTACATTTACATCACCAAGAATATAGTTGAATCGAAACCTGTCACAGTTTCATGTAGAGTGTTCAGCTGTAAAAATCAGGAACTGACCTTTAACGCAGAGTATCTAATGTGTGTGTGTGTGGTGAAGGTGATGCAGTATGAACATGAATAAATTAATTCCTCAGAATTAAAGGAGAACAAAACGAGACAAAACATAAATAAGAAAAATAACATAAAAGAAAACACATCTCCACCAAGGCCCAACATTGAATTCAGTCACGCTGCACCAAATTTCACATGTTCATACATATCAGTTCCTTATTACGTTTAATCAAGATGTCGTCTTTAACTTGTGTTGAACTAATAATAATTTGAGACTGACTTCCTGCCGCTGTGATTGTAGCGCCGGCTGCGGCAGAACAGGAGCCCTGTGTGCAATCGATTACACTTGGAACCTCCTGAAGAAACAGGTGATATGTTCCCTCCACTTTCTGCTGCACGTTATCAATCTAACAGTGAAGCATCTCAGCTGCATCGTTCTCTCTGTGTGTGTGTGTGTGTGTTTCCAGATGATAACTGCAGATTTCAACATCTACGACTTAGTTCAGGACATGAGGACCCAGAGGCCCTCGGTGGTTCAAACAAAGGTAGTTTTATTTTTAACATCAAGCGCAACCACATTTCAAGCAATTCTTAATGTCAGCTCAAGCTTCCTTCTCTCAACAAGCTTTTGATGATTCATGCTTCAACACCGTGCAAACTCACAGAGCAGGTTTTTTCTGTTCAGGAACAATATGATCTGGTGTACAGAACCATCAAGTTGCTGTTTCAGGGATACCTGCAGGCCGTGGATGCACAGAAATGCAGAAATGAGGTGGGCAACCACAAAAACACACGCCGTTGCGAATCAGCTGGAGGAGCAATAAAAACATTCACTGCATGTGTGAATACATGAATGAACGGATTCAAAACGGAACAATGAAGGTTTTGTCTGTGAAACTGGAAGCTAAACACTCAGAGATAGTGTTTTATTTACATACAGTCTTAGAAACCGTATTCTCTCTCCGTCTGGTTCGCCTTCAGGCCGCCACGCTCGTATCGTACGCCCCATTCTTGCCATTTAGTGCACAGCGTGGGGAATTCCTGTCGTTGACGTGCTCCGTGTCATTCAGGCTTTCAAAAACCTTGTCAACAACACATCGATCAATTTACTCCAAGACCACACGTCACTTCTTGTGCCTTCAGCAAACCAACAAAATGCTKCATAGGTTTAATTCATGTCCACAGAAAAGTGCTGTTGATGGTAAACATGGGGTGCAGGGACATATGTGCTTCATTTCAAGCGCTGTTGTGATTCACATTCGACCTTTTAAACTGTCCAGGTGACGATGGTATCATGTGCTATGACGCCTGACTCTGAAAACAAGCTTTCGGACCAGGAGCTGGTTTTGCTGCCTCAGCTGCAGAACCCGCAGAATGAGGAGAGGGACGTTTCACCACAGCACCACCCACCCTCGCTCTCCACTCCAGAAAATCTCATTGCCTCGACATCTGAGGACGAGCAACAGTGGAACCGACTCCGGGCCTCTCCTGACGCGGGGGTCACCAGCCAGGACCTGCAGGAGGGACCCGGGACCTCTCCCAAACAGGTGCACACGAGCCAGAGCGCCCCCGCAGCAGAGGAGAGGGATAACCTGCCGTCACTGAACCTTCCACCTTTACCAGACATCGCCATTTGCCTGATGGTGGAGGACCCGTACTTTGACACCCCCATGAGCTCGCCTTCATCCGAGGAGGTTCCCATGGACTCTGCTGGAGACGCCCGACCGTGGATAGTCAGCCCCGCCTTCACACCCTTGTCTGCTCCAGAACACCCTCCAGAACATATCACGCCCGTGTCAGGTAAATGGTCGATGCACGTGTGAATATCACAGACAACAGAGCAGCAGAATTCAGTTTGGCAGGTATATTGTGCTCTCTGATGTAGATACTGAAGAACCTCACAAGGATGAGGAGGCACCTCCACCGTTACCTGAACGAACCCCTGAATCCTACGAGCTGGCTGTGGACGCGGGTCGGTGAAACGTCTAATTATCTAAGCTGACTTCACCTTTCAACAAATCGAAACTTGAGCGTATAATGATTTTGTTTTTTTCAGAGCCCTCGGATCCCTGTGAAAGCGCATCGCTCGTCATCCCTCACAATGCTGCTGCTGAGGCTGTCAGGGAGTGGCGAGGTGAGGACATCTCATGAATCTCATGTTGTTGATAGCGAACACACGCTGAGGCTTTTTCTCCTAGTTCTTATCCAAAATGGGCGATGATTGTTGTTTCCATATTTCCAGGCAGGTCGCCCTCACCTGTGCCGCCACTTCCAGAGAGAACGCCAGAATCATTTGAGCTAAATCAAGGTGACCTGATAACAATATTAAACAATAAATACCGCCTGACCTTTAACCACTGAAATCTGATCCGCTGATCTGTGACTGACAGCTGGTCAAAATATAAAGAAACTCCCAGACTGGAGATATATTTGGTGAGGCCATCGTGACCTTGACATTTGACCTTTGACTTCTAAATTCTAATCAGGTCATTCTTAGGTCCAAATGACCATATGTCCCAAATCTGAAGAAATTCCCGAAAGGCCTCCTTGTGATATCACATTGTGACGGACGGACTCGGACTCACATCACCTCCAGCGACTGAGATATTTGTGCGTTGCATGTCGTACTTAAATGTGTAATGATGAAATATATCATCCTCGCTCGCCATTCAGCTCCCGTTGAGCAGAACTCAGATGACTCAGCAGCCGTGAACCTGACACGAATAGGAACGTCTTCAGAATGGTGCGGTGACTCAAAATCTGCTTCGAGCGCGACGACGCACGAGACGAAACCTTGGCTGAGGAGTAAAGTAAGAATCTAGTCTCTTGAGTCTTGAATCATAAACTGAAAAAGTTCTGTGAGAGTAATATTCTTCTCTCTCTTGTAGAGTCTGAGAGCAAAAATGACTTTCTCAGGTAATTTCTTTTATTATAACACATTTCTCAGGATTCGTTGGTGAACGAAAATATATGATGATGATGAATTTAGATTTAATGTTCTTTCATTCGTGGCTCGATTACTTTGAATAAACTCATACTCACAAATATTCAAATTATCCGACAGTTAATTTACAATTACTACGTGTGTAATGATATTATATCATTATTTGTATTTTAGTCCCAGCGGCACGTTTCAGTCTTGTACCAAACACAACATCAGACCTTCATCCCGTCTCTCCGCCTCTGGTCCAGAGACCAATGACTCCTCCGCTGCTTTCTCACAGTACGAAGGAATTAATTTCATTTGAACAGAACGATCACAAAAACAAAAACGCCAGCTGATAAATTCAAAGTTGCTGTTGACTTGATTTCATCTCATTGTGCAGATGAAGACAGACGGACGGACAGAACCCCAGAGTCCTTCATCCTCAACACAGACGCCGGTGAGTGCATCATCATCTTCCTCACAACTCCTCTTTTAACTATTTCAATTGACTCTGGTCTTCTCCAACAGCTCAGGAGCAACCTGCCCTGCAGCCCTCAGGACAAGCACCTCGCTCTCACAGGGTGGGGGTGTCGGCCGAGTGGGACGGCAGCTCTCAGCCCAAGAAATTCCTCGATGTGGTCATGAGCAGAAGCAAGGTAACGACCATCGAATGGGCCTCCGGAAAAACAACATTACTGTCTTATCTTCTGCTCTTGTTCGGACATAAAAGTTTCTTCTCCCCCCCCCCCCCCAGAGTGTTCGAGCTAAAAGTTCAAAACAAGGTAAGTTGGACCTGGAAGTTGAAGAACAGCAACATTCAGTGTTTCTCATTA